GAGCAATAGGCGTAGGGTAAGATATCAAGAAAGGCAGTATACTAACATCAACATGCCTTTGTCTCAAGCGTTACAACAATTGCTGAAGGTGAAACTAATCACACTAAAGGATCCTCCTCAAAATCCCGATACTTCTTCTTCTAAGTATAATCCGAATGTGAGATGTGTCTACCATTCTGACAGTCCTGGACATGACACCGACGAATGTTGGACTTTGAAGAACAAGATCCAAGACTTTAATTTAACTTAACCTAATAACACTTAATTGATAAATTATAACCATCACCGGAATATAATCATACTAATATCTCATATCCTCTTAAATACTCATTTCTTTATTAAGTGGAAAAAATTGAGTAACTAATGAGTTAAGAAGAGATTAAATCTAATCAATTTTCTTATAGGGTGTTTGGATGAAGCATTTTAATGAAGGAAAATAATTTTTTGAGAGAATTTAAAATGATTTGATCAAAATCTATTGTTTTCATAAAAGAATATGGAGAATTGTTAAAATAATGTAAATGAATGAAATTGTAAATAATTTCAAATGACACCAAAAAGTAAATAATTTGAAATTGTTCCATAATTTGAATGTTAAGTTGTTTATTATTAATTTTTTATAATTTGCAAAATGGTTCTTATATTTTATGAAAATTACAAATTTATCTCCAAAATTTAAAAAAATTACAAATAAGCCCCTAAGTAATTTTCAAAAGTTACAAATTGATCCCTTGAAATTTTCAAATTTTGCAAATTGGTCCATATTTTAAATTTGGCCAAAAGTTTTAAAATTTATGAAAATGACCTCAAAAGTTTAACGGTGAATCATTTTAATACTCCATCCAAACAAAAAATTAAAATTGAATGAATTTCAATTGACTCATTTGAATTGCTTTGAATTTTGAATCCCTTAAAATTTTCTAATTACCTCGTCCAAACACACTCTTAATTTTCACTAGTTAGTAAGCAAGGGAAATTTGATAATTTTGAAGAGTGGCAATTTGGAGAATATGAGATTTTGACAAGAGCAGAATGGTAAAAACAAAATTAAGTCCACTAAAGTACAAAAACCCATTCTACATATCATTACACTTCTCATTTATTCATTCATTTTTCATTTGTTAGTAAGAAAAGAGAGAAATAAGAAAGAAGAGAAGATGAGAAAAAGAAGAAGAAAACTCATGGAGGAAGAAGAACTTGGAGCTAGAATTCGAAAGAAAATTCTACCTCATCTCATCTCAATTTAATCATCATCTCCCTTGTTAGAGGTGGATTCTTAGCTAGTGTTAGCTTTGATGAAATTTTTCATGGAAAATAGGAGTTATAGTTTTGTGAAATTGATGGTTGATGCATGATTTTCTTGTTGTGTTGTATGTCTATTGTTGTTAATTTATTATATTTGATGATGTTTGAGTGTCACATGATATTATGTTGTATGATATGTTGTAGTTGTCGTTCTTTGATACATGATATCTTGTTGTATTGTTGTTGTTAATCCATGAAGTTTAGGTTGTGTTGATGTTGTGTTAATATTATGAGAATATGTGAAGAACTATGTTATTGTTGTTGTTGCATGATGTATTATATGATGATAAAATGAGTTGGATTATTAGAGATTAATGATGATGAAGCATGGTTGCATATATGTTCTCGTATGAGGTTAATTTCATGGTATGAAATGCTTGAGTATGTTATGATATGATTACAAATGGCTTAGAGTGGTTAAAGTTTGAAGAAGATAGTTTAAAAATGAATTTATACCAGTCCGAAAATAGAGGCACGCTTAGCCACAAGTGGCTCTCCTAGTGAGACTGCTGATACAAAAATAATTTAGTAGCACTGAAAATAGCGTATCTTGAATTTCATAACTTAAAATGAGACGCGGTTGGATGTGTTGAAAATCTGGTTTAAAGTTCTACCTCATGATGATGCTTGATGATACTTGTTGCATGTTACTCTTTGTTAATGGATTGTATTTTCTTTTACTTGTGCGTGCCATGTTCCATAGCTAATGAAAATGTAATGAATTGAATGAACAATAAATTAGTCAAATTCTATGATAATGAATGAGTTTAAACTTAGGATCATAGTTAGGTTAATATTGGAAGTAAGGGTGGACTTAGGTTATGATGAATAATTTAGGTTATGATGCTCGATTGTGGAAGGTACTTCAGTGTGTATCCGTGAGAAAGTAGTCACTTGAGGTTAATCGTTTTATCTACGAAAATGTCTGAATGACATGGATGGTGAACGATAGTCTAATTGTGAGCTAATGGGCTTTGTATGGAAATATAATATGATAATCACGTAGAGATTGATGAGAATAATAATGTAATGATTGATGTGAATAATCATGTAGTGGTTGATAAGAGTAATCACATGTTTGGGATTAACTTATTTTCGCGTTTATCCTGAGTTTGACTCTTATGTAAAGTAGTGATCATGATAGATGAACCATTGATTTGTAACTTCAAAGCGGGTTAGAGTCTTGTAGATGAGTGAACATCAAAGTGGGTTAGAGTCTCATATAGGAGTGAACTTCACAGTGGGTTAGAGTCCTATATAGGAGAGAACCTCATAGTGGCTTATAGCCCCATAGAGGAGTGAACCTAAAAGTGGGTTCGAGTCTCATTTGAGGAGAGAACCTCAATGGATTAGAGTCTCATAGAGGGGGGGAACCTTACAATGGGTTGGAGTCCCGTAAAGGAGATGACCTCACAGTGGATTAGAGTTTAATAGATCATTGATCCTTAAAGTGGGTTAGAGTCCCATGAAGGAGCAAACTTCTCGATGGAAAATATGAATAACTATACGGACATTTGTGACCTGTGTCCCATTTTCCTATATGTAGGATAGGCCGAAGAAACTTGTGTGACGTGATAGAGATTTGTGGCACGTGCCCAAAGTCCCAAATGTGGGGTTGGTCGGGGAAATATACTTTGTGTTGCATTTCCAAATAGTGGTTTATTGAGTTATGTGGACTCAAGTTTATATATTTTCATACGAAACGAAAACCCTTAGATATTCAAGTTGTAATTCTTTTATGTGAATGACTTGAGTTAGAGTATCGTATAGTAACCTTTTAGAGCCAAGTGGACCCATAATATAGGAGAACTCACTAAGATTATTATCTCACTCCATTATATTTTTGAATTTATTTTGTAGAAACTTAATTAAAATTATTAATTTATTTTGTAAAAAAGTTATTACGTAATAAATGATCCTAATCATTATTTATATGTCATTAAAATTAATTTTCTATACTAATCATTAATGCCACATATGCAAAATTAGAGGCTGACCAACGAAATCCCAACGAATGTAAAGTTGAAGCACCAAAAAACCAACTTTTAAAATGGAAGAGTTAAAAGTTAAATATGATCAAACTATTGGACTAAAAGTGCATTTAAACCTAATTATTTAATATAAAAGAAATTGAAATTGACATGAAAAAAAAGATATAAAAGGTAGAATTATCAAAGACCGCGTGTGTTCAGCTTTTGAAGGATGGGATTGACAAAGGATGTGATTTGTATGGATCATTTTAGACCGATTTCCATGCCAACTTCAAATTCAAAAACATCAATAAAGTCTTAGCTGATAGCCTTGGTCTCATCATACCTCAATTGATCTCCAAGCAGCAGAAAGGTTTTATAAAAGGTAGAAACATCAAAGACTACTTGTGTTTAGCTTTTAAAGCGTTTAATCTTCTTGAAAGGAAAGGCTTTAGGGGTAATTTGGCCATCAAGGTGGACGTCAACAAGGTTTTTGAAACTTTAGATTGTGCTTTCCTCCTTAAAGTGATAAAAAGTTTTGATTTTTCTTCTAAAGTTTGCAACTAGATTTCTTCCATCTTATCCTCTGCGTGTCTCTCTATTTGTATTAATGATTCTCATGAGGGCTACTTCAAGTGTGCTAGTGGAATGAGGCAGGGAGACCCCCTCTCTCCCTTATTATTTTGTTTAGTAGAAGATGTGTTAAGCAGATGAATCTCCAAGCTTGTCTCATAGGACAATCTCAAACCCTTCAAGGCAACCAAATCCTTTACAGTCACTAGTCACTAGTCACATTCTTTTTGCCAACGACATTATGATTTTCTACAACGGTACTGATACCAATATCCAAGTTCCTGCTTCTCTTTTTTCTATATATGCTTGGATTTCTGATCAGGTTTTTAGTACTGCAAAATCAACCATTTTTAGAGGTAACATGTCTAAAGCTAGGTTCCAACATTTTCTAAATATTACTGACTTCTCTAGAGGTTGTTTGTCTTTCTTATACCTTGGAGTCCCCATCTTCAAAAGGTAAACCTAAGGCCAGACATCTTCAGCACATTAGACAAAATGTTTGGGGAAACGCCCGCTTTGAAGGCATCTCTCCTTTCAATTGGGCAGAGCTTTATTGATTCAAAGTGTTGTTCACAGTATGATCAATCATACAATCTATGTCTACTCGTGGCATGTGTCCCTTCTTAGAAGTATTGAAAAAGCATCAAGAAACTTTATCTAGAATGGGATATTAACAAAAGAAAATTAGTGGCAGTGGCTTGGAAAAAGGTTTGTCAGCCTCAAGCCCAGGGTGGCTTAGGCCTCTAGTCTCTTATTTGTTTAAACTAGGCCTCAAATCTTAAGTTATGCTAGGACTTGCTCACTTCTTCTGAGGACCGGGCCTGTTTGCTTAGAGAGTGGACTTTCCGAACTGCAAGTTACATTAATCACCACATTCCATCTCCTTTGTGGCAAGGCATTAAATTTGAGCTTAATACTCTCAATAATCATTCCAGTTGGATTCTCAAGGATGGTAAAAGCATTTGTTTTTGGAGAGATGCTTGGTGCAACAGTCTTCTTGTTTCTGAATTGGATCCAGATTCCTTCCCTCTGAATTTCAAGATCAACACAAAGGTTAGTAATTTCTGCAACCTTAATTCTTGGAATATTCCGGTTGCTTGGCAGAATTTCTTCCCTTTCCTGGATGTAAGACTTCAGTCCATAACACATATTATGAACAATTCAGATCAGAGAATTTGGCACAATAGCAACCCCGATACTCTTTCTTTGAAGGAAAGTTATTTCTTTAAAAACAGAATCACTGACAGGCTGTCTTGGGCGAATCATATCTTGTCAGTGGACACACCCCCTTCGAAATTGTTGGTTGTTTGGAGGCTTATGCACGACAAACTCCCGACAGACGATCAACTTCAGAGTATGGGTTGTATTTTGGCTTTGGTGTGCTCTCTATGTCACAACCATGAGGAAACTACCCAACATCTTTCCTTCCATTATTATTTTGGTGTGAAAATTTGGAATTGGTTAGGTCGAATGCTTAATTTCATGCTGCAATTCAGATCCATGAATGACATTTGACATTTTTGCAATATTAATAGGTCCCTCAGTGAAACTTGACTATCAAATCTTCTTTTATTTACCTCATCAATACTATCTAGACTGCGAGAAACTCTTTTAGGTTCAAAAGCAGGACTGTTTTGTTCAACTCTATATGCTCTCAAATAGTGTCTCAAGTCAATCTCACTAGCACCAACACCAAGCTCACCTTTAGAGGTTCTTGAGATGATTTTGCTATTCTTAAAGGGTTCACCATTCCAATTCATCCTCCTAGAGCTCTTACTCTTACACAAGTGATTTGGTGTTCTCCTTCTAGAGATTGTATAAAGTGTAATGTGGATGGTGCTCACTCTTCCAACTTATTTGCTGAATTCAGTGGTGTTCTCAGAGCTTTAGTGAGTGCTAATGCGAAGGGTTGGTAGAAAATTTAAGTGAAATCAAACTCTTCAATGGTAGTCAACACTTTTAACTCTTCTAAAGTTGATGTTGTTCCTTGGCAAGTTAGAAATAAATGGTTCAATTGTAATAACATTTTTTCTAGAGGGTCTCTCCTAATCACATACATATATAGAGAAGAAAATAGTTGAGCAGATTTTTTTGTTAATATAGGTCGCACATATCCTTGACTTTTTTTTTATTCTTTACCTTTGGGGATTAGGAATGACTATGTAAAAAATAAGCTAAGCTTGCCTTTTTTTAGATTCAAGTCCTTTTGAGTGAGTTTTGGCCGAGTCCCCCCACTTTTTTTTTGTATCAATCTTTTTTCTATATATTTTGATTTTATGCACACAAAAAAAAAATAATAACAATCAATTATCAACAATAATTATCAGTGTGAGTGCAAGAAGTATTCATTTCAGACCAAATGGTTTAATAAGATTGGAATGATTGTTGCATCTGATCCTTCAAGTATGGCACTACATAACTATTGTCCTTCAAATATGGGACTATATAAGTTTTCATGTCCTTGCGAGAGATATCCAGGTGATCTCCTGACACGTTCAAGAATTTGACTTTCCCAGCTTCATCTAATGCCCTTAAGCCAATCCAATCGTCAGTATACAACTTTGTCTGCACAAAACAAAGTAGCTTTTGTCACATTCCAAATTTCTATTGTAAACTACTTTGATAGATGTTTGAAAACCGTTCGAAATTTCAATGAGGAAATATGTCACATTCCAAAAAGTAGAAGTACATGCTCTTCCTAATGTTTGAGACTTTATCGGTGTAGGTTTTGACAAAAACAAGAGACAAGGAATATGCGCGCCTCAAAACTCATGTTGTTTCCTTATTTTTGTTGAACCAACACCGACATAAAGACAAGGAGAACCAAGAGCTTCTACTTCCCAGGGACGTCGTCAATTGTCCTTAGAGATTCAAATGAGTTTTAAGCATTGGTCCATAGTAGAATCCGTCTCAAAACCGATAAGAAGTTAAGTAAGCAACAATGCAAAAACAAACTAAAGATATAAAATGTTTATTTATATTACCTGTTGTGGTTGTAAAACAGAATGTAAGGCCCCATCTGGATAAAAACCAAACCACGCTGTTTCTTTTGGTATCAGAATGGTATCATGGTCAAACTAGTTTTCGTGCAAACAAATAGAGAAAGGTGAAAAGTCATATTGACAAATATTTGTAAATAGGAAAGTTTAAAACTAACAAGAGAAATCAGAAGACGTTACGATACATAGTTCTTTTTAACGCACCATAATAAGGACCAAGTTTTCTAAGCTAGAAAATCGTTGGCGGTAAGTGGAATTTCTCTTATTGGTGATTTCGTTGTTAAGCTTTGGAAGGAACTTACACCCCTTAAGATAGCCAGCAATATCCTGCAGAAAAAAGAAACTGATTATTCTTTCCTTTCATCTAATTTGTAGGCCATGTCCATAGAAGGGAAATTTGATTGGACATAATGTCATTGATCAACATAGTATTACTAATGTGTCAACACCGATAATAATCTAAGAAAATGAAATTATTGAATGTGCCACATATGTTCCGTGATGGTGTTCGATACCACACCAACACATCTCGAACAAGATAATAGAAACTTATACTGGACTGATACTTCAGTAAACCAAATGCAATTGACACGCGACTGAGATGTTTAAAGATTAATAGAAATTCCGACAAAAATATAATCCAAAACAGAGGTACTTGAGAAACGCATGATCATACTCACTATTGGCATTTTAACATAGCCACTGGGAGCCAGAGAATTCTGCATCAACACATTGGATGAAGTCAGGGAAGAATGCCACATAAGTTTTAGGAATGGATTTTAGAAAAGAAATATATTTAAAATGAAAGTACAAACTACATAATTATCATCTGAATAAAATAAAAAAGAAAAGTAGAAACCTGGACTAGGCTGCTGTAGACCCCAAATTTTATTACACTGTCAATGAGAGTGCATACATTCTCAGACTGAAAAAAAAAAAGGAAAAAATCATGTTAATCATTAAAATTTAACAGATATTCAACAGCTTCCATATTAATATTTTAAATGCTTTTACTCAATCAACAGATATGGCAAGTTAAACATTAAGGATCAAGATTCATGGCCTGCCATATGCCTAAAATAAATTACAAAGAAAATAAGATCAATTTTGAAATTGAGTGTGTTTTTCCTATCATTAAAGAAGGAAGATATTTTTCAGTCTAACTAAAGAAAGGAAGCAAGGTGTGTGGATGGGGTAGATTATATAATAAACCAATACGCAACCATTTTGGAAAGAATAAACAAGAGGAAAAAAAAGCAGGCAAACTATGAGAAACTCATTTCAAAAGTTTGGCTGTAGTCTTGTTAATGGCAGATTGCAGAAAAGAGTGGACTGTTCAAGTTCTGCTACGCTACGGCGTTAATTAAAAACACTTGGTACTAAATTGAGTATTGTGGAACAATAACGGTTTGTTCAAATTTCCCTATGCTATGACGCCGCTAATTGACAATTAATTGGTCCACCCGTTTTTTTTTTGTGGGGGAGGTTTTAGGTTTGTACAATACAGGGCAGGTGGTAAGAGCCCCACAACTAGTGATTCAAAGAATGTATCATTTCATTCGACTCAGCACTTTAACATAGAAAGTCATCATCTAGTGGATCAAATTCACCTTTCCTGCTCTTAACCTTAGAAAAAGAAAAATAGAATATAGAAGAAACAGACTTTCTGAATACAGTAAATGAATGATCACATACCCCGCATAATGGAATTGAAGCAGTGCCGGCATGTGGACCACCCAGGGATATAAAATTCTTAACCTGAATTACATGCAAAGAATAAATGTGAAACACATAAAATATTGGTCGAAATCGAATACGTACCAAGAGCTAAGAAAACTTAAAAGGAAATAGAGTGTTAGAGGAAGGAAAATCAATACCCAGATTAATAACATCATACTAATATGAAGTGAATGATATGTTACAAAAGGTAAAATGCCTATCTTTTTTATATTATTATTATACTAAACTCCTAATTCTAATTTAGAGTAAACAAGTTAGTTCTTACCGGAGGTCCGCCATCACAAAATTCAATAAGCCCTCTACCAATCACGTTGCCCTGATAACCGAAAGAACTAACATGATGTTAAAATAGGATTTTTTTTTTATTGAAATGCATAAATAGTCACCTGATGATGTTGAGATTTAGTTTAGTAATAAGAAAAAAACTAATACAACAACAATCAAGTCTTATCCCACTAAGTGGGGGAGAAAAAAAACAAAAATGATCTTATCTATTATTTTATCTCATTAAAAAATGACAGAGCAATACTATACTTGAACACGAATAAGCGGAAAAGAACTGGGTTTGATTGTATCTATAACCAGTCGGGTCAGAGGTCTGGGTCACCAGTTGGTGATCTAATCAAATGAGGCCAGTCTAGGTTTAACTTTGCCCATTTATTTGCAACAAGATTTCATGTTTCACTTTCTTTTACACCTCTACCATTTATTTCATTTAGTAATTATAGTATTTATTTTATTAAAGAAATACACATAGGAACCTGAAAGGCATATTATATATAGAAACATAAATATATCATATCTATATAGATCTTTACAAAATTCACAGACAAAACTTAACTTGACCTAAAAACATCAAAAGGACAAATCAACATGGTCTCACAACATTGATTGCTAAAAAAAAAAAGTAAAGTTACATTTGCATAGAACAGATTTACCTGAGAAAGTCCAACAATGTTGTAACCTTGTTTTAGATCGCTCATTTTCTTTACCTATTGATAGGAACAGACACTTATTTAAAACAAATTACGATTAACTACTAGGCCAGAAAATTACTGAACAATTTCACCACCTTCTCACATGCAATAGCCGTCTGCAAGGATAGAAAGTAAATAAAAGGTTACTAAATTGTCAAACACCAAATTTCAATATGATCGATACATTTCATTTGAGAGTCACCTGTTTTATTAGGGGCTTGGTCCAAGAAGTCCACATTCCATTTCCAATTTCTCTGTAGATAGAACAAGCACAAATAACTAAATAAGGAATTGTTACATCCCTAATTTAAATTTACAGGGTCAAAAGAAATTCATACATATTACTAAGGTTATGAAAGGACAGAGAGTGATAACATCTACATAAAAATCCTCTATTCAAATTATTTTCAGCCATATTGTGAAAGATTTTGCACAACTGCCTCTACCTAAACTATTTGGTCCTTGGAATATAGTCATATACTATAGAATAAGGGCATACAACCAAACCGTAAAATAACAATAAAAATGAGAGTAGTAAATATAACAACTTTAATAATAGCATACATGCAGTATCCCCGAGAACCAGACCAATCACTTAAAAGCTTCACAAAGTTTGTGACTCCTCCATTCTTGCACTGATCTCCAATACCTGATAAAAAGTTCAAACACAAAATCAGTATCGTATGATTATGGCTGACTATCCAATAATAATTTTGCATAGATCTAGTATTCTTGCTAAAACATGCATTCAATCTGAATATCATACAACATTCATTTTGCAATAATATTTTATCATAACTCATGTTAGGTTCAACTCCTGTCAAGATCCCCAAGTTTTAATAATTGCAATTATGATTTGTCAAGATCCTCAAGTTTTAATAATTGCAATTATGATTTTCCTGGATTGTGCTACTTTTCTTTCACTATATCGTTTTCTATCTTAACTAAGATTTCCTTTAAACAATAAATTTCATTGAATTATGTTGTTTCCTATTGTACTAAGGTTTTGGAATAAATATTCAAGAAGTTGCATCACTATTCTCCAATGAGTAAAACTGTAAGAACAATATTTTCTCTTGAAGGTAACAAACCCCTCAAATTGGTCTCCCCTATCTTTCTTTCAAATTCTTAAATTCTATGAAGAACCAATAGGATTATCCTAAGATATCAATAGCTACAAGGTTTGGTTGGATGCCACCT